TTCAAAGAACACTGGGCTGCAAGAAAGCAATATAGTTTTTATTTATTTATTTTTAATATCCTCAGTGCATTCTCACGCCTATGTTTGGCTAACTGTAATTCCCTGAAGGAAATGACAGCAATGTCCTCATTAAAGACCAACAAAGAATATTCTTGACAAATGAAGCGTTTAACCTGAAAACTGTTGCCACAGAGTAACATTTACTGTATCAGCAAATAAAGCCAAATATCACTACTAAATTTACTTCAGTGAACTCAGAAGTTCCACAAAAAGCCAAAACAGAGTTACAGCTGTGGTCTCAACCCTTTCAAATTTACAGGCCACTATTTTTTTCCATTTTTTTTTCAGAGAATCTAGCCTGCTGAGGTGATGTGCAGCTACTCTTCCTTGTCACTAGTTTCAGGCCTTTCAAGGATAATCCAAGGTATCCAAGTATATCTATCTCAGTAGTTTTGCAGCCACACAAATTGATTCTTAACTACTTTCAGTAGAAAGAAAACCGAGCCCTGCATGTTTGACATCCAATACTGGGGCCTCGAGGCCTGATCTTTTCTACTACCTGCAAGCACCTTCTCTCTGTCCAAGTGTCACTTCATTGGTGCATCTGGGACACGTAACCTCATCACTCCCATATGGTTAAGTTTTCTAGGGCTACACAGTCCATTAATAAACATAACAGATTAGCATTTACCTCATGGGCAATTTCAAACAATAACTGCAAAATGAGTTTGTTCTCATGAAAGAAGGCAAATGTTGGCTAATTAGGTTTATAGTTAACACAGTTTTTCTTCATATGACTGTACGATAGAAGGCAAGAATATTTAATCTTCATATTCTTTCTTGAACACTTAAAATACTTCTACAAAAGTCAAAGTTTTAAAATTTTCTGTTGTGAATGCAACATTCTGGCTTTGGTAGCAGACGTGGGTGATGGTCCCATGAAACTGAAGCAGGGTTAAGGGAAATACTATCCGACTCAAATTAGAGTTGTTATTGTTTTGGTTCTGCCCTGCTTTGTCTTCCTTTATACTGAAAGGCAAAGGAAAAAAGGAATAGCATAAGATATGGGCACCATCTCCATGATCTGGAATGCACCCATGAAGTTAAAAAAAAAGAAAAACCAGAACAAGAAAAACAAAAAAGGCTTGTTTATGAAGGTTAGTCCACACACTCATTTGTAAATTCTCCAGGATAAAAACATCATCATGAGAAAGGTTCAAAGATTGTTTCTGACAAAATGATTCAACTTCTCCAGAAAACAGATCTTAGGACTCTTTTTTTTTTTTCCTTACATCATCATAATGGGTTTGTTTACATATAAAAGCAACACCAACATAATCATGAGTTCTTGCTTTTAACTCTACTGATGCTAGAAAAGAAAGCCCTGCAGGGTAATTTTTACCACGAAAATAAGGGCAAGATTTCAGTTTAGCTTTTGTCACCTCATATAGAAGTTTTAAGTAGAAAAACAAAGCCTCTACCGTTGGTTATTCTGACACCACTGGCCAAAACCTGACACTCCCTCAGGTAGAGAGCCACAGGTTTGACTTGGGCTGCACTGCTGAGCCATGCCAGTGTTTACATAGCAAAATGCACATGATTTCAAGGAAAAAAAGCCACCAAATGATCGTAATGAAAAAACAGGAACGGCACATATAAAGTGTAGGTTTTGCCGCTCTACATTAATATTTCATTTCCTTCGTGTAACATGACTCCCTGTTTTGGTGGCTCGGTCTCTGCTCTACGCTGCTCGACCGCTCTCAAAAGAGACCATTTTTAAACTTTTAACGACGCTTCTCGCGCGAACGGGGCAGCTAACGGACACACAGAGAGGCAGCCGGTACCTGGTGGCCCCGCGGGCTAAGGGCACTTGGAGCCGCTCTCCGCGCCGAACGCCTCGGGTCACGAGCCGGCGCCGCGCGGAGGGCCGCGCTCACGCGGGGGCTCCATGGGCGCGCGCCCGCCCGCCGCCTGCCGGACCAACGGCCGCCGCTCCGCGGAGGGGACGGAGAAAGCACCGCGGAGGCCCCGGCGCCCCAAACGCGCGGCTCGGCGGGGGAGGGAGGCGGCAGGCGCTGGGCGGCCCCTCCCGGCCGTTAACGACTCCCCCAGGCCTCGCGCCGGCCCCTCCCGGCCGTTAACGGCTCCCCCCGCGCCGGCCCTTCCCGCCGCTAACGGCTCCCGCGGGCCCCGCGCCGGCCCCTCCCCGGCTCCAGCCGGGCACACGGCGGGGGAGGCGCGGGGGAGGCGGTGCCCCCGGCAGGGGCGGGGCGCCGAGGCCACGCCCCCCATCGCGGGGCGGGGCGGGCGCTGTCACCGCCCCCCCCCGCCGCCCGGCGGCCGTTGGGGCGCGCGGCGGGAAGGGCGCGGGAGGCGGTTCCGCCCCGGGGCGGTTGGTGGCTGTTACACCGGCCCGGGGAGGCGGAAACGCCCTGCGGCCGTTGGTGGCCGTTACGGCGGCCGCGCCCCTCGCCTCTGGTGCCTCTGCCCGTGTTTTAGGAACGCACCAGGAGAGGCAGAGGTGCCGCCCTCTCCCCACCCGCCCCGTTTCAGTGAAATAAATGAGCAGGGGCACAAAATGCTACAAAATACACAAAAATCTCAGGACGCTGCCCCCACCTTTGCTGCTACCGCCCTCTCTTGCCTTCAAAACCCACCACGTTACCTTCAAACCCACCCACGCTTGCCTTCCAGAAGCATCGTGGCATCTCCCACACCTCCCAGGCTGCTTCCTGCTGTCATGCGGTGACCTCTGTCACCCGAAAGCGGGATAATTTCCAAACTTGGAGGCTATGCGATGGCAAGGTGTGCAATGACCACTTGTGACACTGCCTGAAGGGCGTGCAGGGCTGGCACCGTGACGCAGTGGCCACGTATGGAGCTTTCCCTGACCAAATCCATACAGAGGCCAGCGCAGTCACGTGGCTCGCTGTGGTTTCCAGACCTCCTCCTGCTCCATTTCCAATGACTCAGATGACAGTAGCAAAATTTGATAGAAGGGTGGTGACTTCAATGGTGCTAATTCTTTCAAGCTTTGTAAAAAAGGGGGCACAAGATGCCAGTTTTGCACCATCGTAGGAAACCTATGTGCAGAGAACAGCGTCTCCATCACAGCCATATGAGCAAGCTACACACCAGGAATTTCTTTGCTCCTTATCTTTACTTAAGCTGCATGTTTTGAGCTTTGAATCAGTGTCTAAACCTCACAATGTGCTTGTTGTGTGATAGGGGAAGATCACAGGTGGGCCTAAGGTGCCATGACAAGGGCCACTATATAGGTATTTCCCACCACTCATGGATGCGTAGATATTCCACACGTGCTGTTTTCTTGGAAAGCTTTCCTTGTAGTATCTGAAATTTGACACATTCAATAGGCTTTTGTATTAGGCTGAACTTGGGTGTGAGCATGTAGAGAAATTTCTGCTCTGACTTTCAGCACTACGAACAATGATGAAAATCTGTATACATTAGAAAGCCGTACAAATATATACATACATATTACTTGTCTGAGCTGTACTGCTATTTCCAGGAGATTTTTCTCCATTCCTTCTGATAACACTCACTACACAAGCTTCAATGCAGGAGAATATAAATATGGAAGATTCACACAGTCTTTCACAAAGTAGAGCTAATTTGCTAACAGATGACAAATATAAATGATGCAGTGGGTGTCTTTTTCTTTCTAGGTTCATACCTATGACTTCTTGTGTTCTTATTACTTCTGTGGCAGCAGACTTCAAAAAAAAACCAAACAAAAAGTTCACTGCACTTTGGTTTCATTGCTTGCATTGCATGAAATCGCTATGTGATTAAAATACTACATTAGTAAATTTATATTCACTAAAGCTCTATTAAGAGTATTATATTTGCTTCCACCTGGCCTGCTCATCGTCTGAAATAACTAGATGATAAGAAGGGCATTTGGGACATTTGTTCTACCTTCAGTGGCATTGCTTCACTTTGGTAGTATTCAATATTTAATTAGTTGTGGGAAAAAGTTCTACATCAGTAGAGCTTTCTGAATTAATTAAATGTCTCATACTCTGTGCACTCAATATGTGAGTCATATTGTTTGTTTTTACATATGCATTATTCAGGGTGCTTTCATACAGAACGTTTCAGAAATGTTGCTCGCTGTTTCATCTATAAAAAGAATTTATGGAATATCATTGTGGTTGTGAGCACAGAAGACTTTTTTTTTTTCCATCTGGAAAGAATAATTTAGTGGTGAAATGGTCACCACAATGTACAGAAGTAGTAAGGGCTCTTTGGAGTCTTCATGTTAATGTAAAGGGTAGGAAAATACACTGAAGTCACAGTACAGGTCGGCAACATGGGTGATCATTTAAGCATACAGCAGCGATGATACTGTGTTCATGTCACACATTCAGTGTATGAAAAATATTGCTTATTTGCAAGATCAGGAACGTAAGTTGTAACCTAACAGTCACGTCAACAGTCTATTAAAGTCTTATTAAAGTAAAGATACTGTGTTACTTACAATTATCTTCCCCCTATCCACAATGCATGCTTATATAAATAAAACATAAAACCTCCATATTCGACCCATCTGGGTCTGACTCATTTCTGTAATAAGGGTCTGACTCATTTAAAAAAAAATTCTTCTTGGCCAAATGAGACCAAGATTCCTTCCCAGAGATGATTACTGTTCAGAAGCTACATGAAAGCGGCCATTAGAGGGTGATGTTCCTAAAAGAAAAGTACCCCGAAAGAATAAAACGGTTTCTAAGCAAGGTTCTTCTCTAATTTTCATCCTGCCACGTTGGTTTGGTCTTCATTGCGTTCGTTTGAGTCATCCTCATCTAGGCCAGTGTAAGAACTTGGCTCTCTGTTAGTTAAGGCAACAAGAAGTGGAAAGAAAGGCCGTGGCGGAGAGAGGAAATGATCAGGAGCCGTTTTGCATAAACCCCGCACTAAGTTAGCAGCTAAACCAGGAAGGAGCTCGCCATCCCCACGCCACATGGGGCGGCTGCAGGGACATGTGCTTGGCTCTGAGAAAATCAGAGCTCTTCAGATTAGCCATAGGAATCGTTACCATGTTTATTGTATGTTTACCTGAATTTTTCAAAGTCCAGGAAGGTGAGTGATCAGCTTTTAAAATAGCCCTCTTCTTCTTTCTAGAGGTCAGGTTGCAGTTGAAAAGTTAGCATATACTTTCTTAAAAGGGATGCTTATCATGCTGCAGTCGTATGGACTTTGTAAAACATATATATTAGCTTCTTCAGATTTTTAACCAGCAAAATTAATTATATCTTTATATACAATATGTGTTAATTTGAATATATATTAATTTCCATTAATTTGGTAGAAGTTTGTAATTTATTTATGTACATTGTGTTTTTTGTAACTGTTCTTTTGCAATCTTCATTGTAAACAGAATAATTAAAATATTTATGTTTTTCTGTAACAGGTACTTGTGTCTTAAAGGGTAACTTTTTGAAATCTCCATCCTGAAATGCCTGTAAACATTTGTACACTTACTATATGAGATCATGTCTGAGAAAGAGACATGCAGTGACACCCTGGTCAAAAAACATGGAGCAGAATAGGTACAACTGAGTGAAACAAATCCTGTGACAAAAATTCTAGATACGTCTTGGTGATCCTAATGGTCTATACTGGCTTTAGGATGAATGCAAAATGTATGTGTATAAATTTCGCATTCAGTGCTTTGTTAAAAATCCATATATAAATTAATATTTAAGTAGTCTTGTCAGAGGCATTCCTAATTAGGGTTTTGAATAAATCAATGTCATAATAAAAAGCTTCCCTTTGACAAACAGTATGTGTTCGCAGACATCATTAAATTATTTATAGAGCATACTTTTCTGCAGAAATTTAGTATTAAAATATATCAAATTAGGTTATTCATATTTAAATTTTTATTTTCATTCACCAGAAGAAAAATCACAATTTTTTTTTATCAGGTGAAAAACCTGATGACTTCTGTAATCCTCAAATATTACAGAAAAAAAGCTGATTTAAGCCGTTGGAATAACTGATGTTTTCCTGTCATGTGGAGGTGGCTAAAGCAATAGCCAGATTCTTTGCTAGCACAGACAACACAAATAAACAGTGCATGAATATTGCCAGAAAACATACTGACCTTATTGTCAGTCATCAAAGAGTAATTGCATTTTTCTCTGTTCCGTTGCTCCTCGTGGAGGTGCTTCATGCTGTAATAGCAAGTTCATTGCAATTCTGAGATCTATGTGTGAACTTAATCACCACAGCATGTCTGAGGAAGAAAATCCAATTATTTATGTCTGTGAGGCGAAATATATAGCAGCAGCGAATTATGTTCGGAAATTTAGAATATTTATCCTGTTTGGGATGTTGTAATTATACATAACAATGTCTAAATGAAAGTAAAAGAGAGTAACTATCATGAAAAATGTAAAAAAATTCAAGGAATCCGGGACGCTGTGCTTCCTTGAAAATCACGTTGGAAACTGGTTTTATTTCAGATTTTGTATCAAACTTCAGATGCACAGATTTGCTTTGCTGCAGATGTTTCAGTACAGATCTGCTTTGCTGCAGGTGCTCCAAATTGCTGGCTGCCGTGTGAGGCTGTGGAAAATACTGTACACACCTAATGTTATTGTTGGAAATCTTCTCTGAGCTGTGAAACAGCCCCTGTATATCTTCCTCTGAAGCCCAAATGAGTGCTTGCGACCTCCTACCTCCACATGCTTTTCTAAGATCATGTTTAAGGCTTGTGGGTATTTCAGGTTTCAGTACAGCCCCAAAAGTGCCAGGTAAGCAGAGAGTACAGGGAGAAGAAAGTAAAATTTGGAATTTTTGCTTCTCATTGAGTAGCAATTCTGCAGTATATCAAATTTTCAATAAACCAAGCCTTTAAAGATCTCTAACACTGTTCAGTGTTACCAAGAGTGAAATATTTCCTTTGCATTTGTAAAGCAACCCACTTGTTTAGTTATGAGTCACTGCAGCTTCAGCCTACATTGCTTTACAGCAGGAACTTGTAGTTTAGTCTCATGCTCTCAGTCCCTCTGCTGTCCTCTTGGTCCACCTTGCTTTTACATAACCCAGGTATTGTATTCTGCAAGTTGTACCAAGCTGTAGCTCTGCAACTTTATGTAACTCCAACTTTACTGCTGTCATTTGCACAAGGCAGTGATAAAAATGAAACTTAATATACTGCTGAATTGATTCAAAACAGAATATCACCAACAAAGAAAGGTCAGGCCAATCTAAAATTAAATATTTATGATTTTCTTAATAGGAAGCATTTTTTTTTTTACAAATGCAGATGCTCCCTGTGAATAATTTCATTTCAGTGGAAGTGGTTTTTCTATAGAAAAAAACCTATAAATAGAGGCTTAGCAAAGGAATTTCAGAATCTCAGAACTTCTTAACATTAAGCACTTAAGTTACGGATGTTTGAAAATAAAGCAAAGTTTCTTAGATATTTTTGGCTTGGTTTGGTCTCACCAATCCTTATAATTACAGTTTGTTTGCATTCAGATTTCCTTGGAGCTTTACATGTTTCCAACAAGCAGTGCTCACCTTTGGGAGGGAATGTTCCCCACTAAGGCCCGCACGAAGCAGCAGGCCTTTGTGAGTCCGGTTCTGCCTGACTCCTTGTAATCCACTGAGAAACCCAGTCCTTTTCCAATCATATTTACTGTGTTCAGCCATATGTATCCTCCCCTACAAAATCGTCTTTTTTTTTTTCCCTCTAATCTCTTTCTATTACCAGATTGTAATTTGGATGGAGTCCCAGTAAAAGTCCTCAAGAGGATGGTAAGCACCCTCACTAGTAGAACACCATACATTTCTAATCAGATACATATGATTTCTGTCCTACGTATCATATGTATCATGAACATGTGTATGATGATATGTATCATATCATCATATTCATTCCTACCAGATACTTTATAAGTATCTAGACCACGCCTAAAGGGCAGTACTGGAGCTAGTAAGGCCGTGTGGACAACATGATGCAGAACGATGTTCATGGTGCTCTGCATGGACATAACGCTACAGGCACAGCCCAGCTGGCAGATCCACACGTCCAAGGGCAAATTTCTGTGTGGAACAAGTCTGTGGAGAATGGCCATTAGCTGATCCTGAAAGCTGCAGCAGTGGTTTTAGGCGAGCTGCCCAGATGCACACATGCCTTGCATGAGATTAGAATAAGAATTCAATTTTTACTCCTGGCTCTTTTCCTCCAAGACTCTTTGCACTAAACTCTTCAGGCTGGAAGAATTTGATTTCAAGAGCTTGCTTCTTGCCAGGTTGTGGGGTTCAGATCAGGAGCATTTTGTGGGAAATCTTTGATGCAAATAAGGGAAAGATCAAGTCCTAAACTTTGCTTGACCTTTTTTTTTTTTTTTTTTTTTTTTTTGGTATTCAAATAAATTATCTTCTTATCTGTATATGATGTATATTTTACATTCCAATTTATTATCTGTTTTATGAGGAGTTTATGACTCTCTGATATACGGTTAATAAAGTGAAGGTAGTTGACGTTGGCATTTGATTTTTGGCTTTTACTTCTGAATCCTGCCTGCAGTCTTTCACCAAGTTGATTCTGAGGTTAGTCTCCCTGGATGCGGGTGCAGATGCCCTATTGAAGCTGTCAGATTGCAGTTAAGAGCTGGAGCAATTGAAGGCTGTGTTTTTCTTTCCATACATAATGATTTATGGCAACATAACTCCAGTGAATTTTTACGAGCATTAGATGCATAAATTAGTCTTCCCAGAGCTGGAAGGGTACCCCTAGAATTGGAAGCTAAACTACAAAACTCCAGGTTTGTACTGCATGATCTCCAGACAGAGAGAGAGCAATTAGTTGTGTTCATAAGGACATTTATTTTGTATTGTGTCCTAGCAGCTAAAACCCCTTCACTGATAATTAATATTCAGTTTTCACTAGTAATTAATACTCAGTTTTCTGTTATTTTCCAGAATTGCATAAATGTACTACAGCTATAGTAATCTGATACTGAAATTTGACTAAGAATGGCAAGAAAATAGTTGGTCATCATGAAGATTCCTTGATTGCTGGTTCATTTCGATAACAGGTCTTAAATCTGTGCTCAGAATTTGGGTGCATTTCTGTATAGTTTCCCTGTACAGTTCCACTATCATTAGAGAGAAAGTTTTCATTCTGATTAAAGCTGTTTTATAGCATAATCTTACTGGCATACTGTAGCTGTATGGCTCCAGGGCTAAATTCCCTCTGTGAATATGAGAGGCTTCATCTTCTTTTCAAACACAATCGAATCTGAACAGCTTTCAAACAGGGATATGACTAGATACTACCACAAATGAAAGTTATTATGAGAAGAGATTTCATGTAATTCAACAATCAAGTCCAGGATATACGTTGTGGGAATATTCTGTGCTTGCTTTCACTCACTTGATTATGTATTCAGTATGCTGCCAAAATCCGCAAGAAAGAAACCTTATGTTTTATTGTATGATGGTTAAAAAGTATCTCGCATGACATTTAACATGCACATATTTGTTCATGTGCCCTAAATGACTGTCTTGCTAATACAGTACCTCTGTTTTGCAGATAACACTGTAATGATATCGTGCAGGGATAGCTGCTCATTAAACAATATCACTTTTCCACTATGCACTTTTAACAAGTCTTGCAAAAGCTCCCTGCAACAAAGAAGAAAGAACCAGACTATTTTACTGAAGGCCATTGTAAATCACCCCAATTTCCAAAATATTTCCTGTATGTGTCAATCCTCCAGCAGAGAACAACAGCCACCTATTATGTACTCCGAGTGTGAATCCAATAGACAGAGGAACGTTGTTCCCCAAGAAGCAAGAGCAGTTAAAAAAAGTAAGTAAGAGAAGAAGAAATTGAACAAAAAGAGCCATATAATTCTTAAAACAGCCAAGAACCCCATTTTTGTACTCCCAGTCGATGTTATATGTAACTATGTAGTATCAGAAATGGACAACATAGTTCTGATAGAGGGCAACACTGACTAAAGACAGGTCCAGCATTCCAGAGAAGAGTTCAGCAACATCAACACCACTTCAGAGCAGTAGTATCATAACCCTTCTTTGCCTTGTATTCTTGCAAAGTGCCTGGAAAATTTTGGGGGAGAGGATGCTTCTGGATTTTGGTTTTTGGTCATACACTCCTAGCAACATGGGCAATAGGCCAAGCAGTAAACAGAGGAATGCATTACAGCTTGTGTCTTTTGCAATGAAACTTTCAAAAACCTTCTGCAACAGATAGCAGACAGACTAGATTACACTTCAAGCAACTAGCATCATATGGCTTTCACTTTTAAATTTTTTTTTCCCACAGTCCAATTTTCTATTATCCCTGTCAACAGAAGACCAAACGACAAAAAGAACTGAATAGTTTTGAAGCTGGTAATCAAGCAAAAATAGGCTATTTTGGTTGAGGAGATGTATTTTGGTTAGCTAATCAATACCCTTCAGATCTCCTCAGAAGGAATGAGACAAAGAATTTGAATGAAAGTTTTCTCTCTGTCTCCACTATATGTTATATAACATGTATGTTTTGTTTAAAATTGTAGTTGCACGAGCAAAAGGTTCTCTTGAAATGGAAACAGAAGATCTTGTATATTTTTATAAATATTTCAATTTCACCGTGCTTCCTGAGAATGAGGATGAGCATCACACATACTACATGCTGGAAGTCCACATCAACAACTCAATAATCAGAGAAAGAAATGCAGCTGCAGGACACCTGAATCACTCCTGTCTGGTGGCAATGGCGGAAGACCAAAATGACTGTATAAATGTTTCACCGCAGCTGAAGTCCTATGTGGAATGTAAGTTACAAAGGAGAGTTTGAAGGGGAATCAAGCTCAGAATCTATGGGAATCTTGCAAAAAGTCTCCACTAGGTAATTCTCTGCTTTCAGCATCTGTTTTAAAGTATTCCCAAAGAGAAAAGAGAGAGGAGATGGAAGAAAAAAAAAAAAAAAAAAAACACTTTATTTGGTCATCTCTTATTAAAACAGTACACACAAATGCAACTCTGTAAAGAGTGATTTAAACTGTGTTTTGCTCTATTTTCTTCCTAGATGCAACACAGAAAAAATATGTCTCTGTAAATTCACTTACCTTTTTTTTTCCTTTCTTTTATTTTGTTTAATGTTGGCAGACTTCCAGCATTCATTTATGACAAAACCTGGAATTGCCTTTCCCCCTACCTTTACCTGCAGTGCCCTAATCATGTTGTTTTTGAGGTAAACTTAAAAAATCCTATCAACTTCAATGACAGGAGAATCAGGGGACAGATTTGACTTTTCCTAGTATCCTGCTGCAAACCCGACTTTCAGCTTTCCTACAGTCTGCTTAAATAGGAAATCTCTGGCTGAGCTTGGTGTTGTTTTCCCAGAGGACAGCCTGTCAGATTTTAAATTTCTTTGTGCTGCGGGAGTTTTTTGGCTCATTGCCTGAGCATGGCCAGGGCTTCTAGTCCATGTATGGAGCATTTGCTGTCAGGGAGTAGGTGAATTATTACATTCATTTAGTTTTGTATGGCAAATATATTTTATGCTGTAGTTTTGCTCGAAAAAATAATGAGGTTTTACGCTGGCTGAACATGAGCTACTTAAACAATCCTAGGTAAAATCTACTGACAGCAGCTTAGTTTTTTTACACAGGTAGGTTTAGCTATGAGTACCTTTTTTAACTTGCTCTACTAACTCGTATCACAATTGTAAATTAGCTATGAATTAAGTGATTATCTCAAACGAACATGAAGAATTGAGAATACACCTTTTTTTTTTTTTTTTTTTTTTTTTTTTCTAGTTACTTCAAAACAAAGCCAGAGAGATGCTCAGAGCCCAGGCTGGGCAATACTGATTTATAAATCATTTTAAGTCACTATTATTTGAGGTGGACTACTCTGTGCTCGAGGAGGTGCTTTTGCTTCTGAATTAGAGGGGATAAACTGTGCCCCATCAAAGAACCACAAGGTTATTAGTAGCAACCTCAGGACTTCTCAGTGGAAAAGAGATAAAGGAAGTTAAGATGGCTTTAATTATAGTATTTCAAGTCAAGAGCAGGAAAATAGTAGTTTGTAGTATCTGTATCTACCATCTCCCATACATGAAGAGAATACCAGTACAGGTGTGTGTTGGACAGTGGGCCAGTTCTGCTGGTGCCCACCAAAACACAAAAAGGGTTTTGGTATACTTTACCTTCGCCTTCCCTTAAATATAAAAGTTCATGTTTGAAGCATATTCTTCTTGCAGCATCACATGTAACACTTCACACAAATCAAAAAGTTTTCATTCACTTAGCTACATATAATGATTTCAGACATGAAGAGATAGATACAGATTAAAATGAGGATAAATCACGGAGAATAAGCTTAATCACAAATAACACTCAAGGCTAAAAGAGAAAGACACAATCTTATTTTTATTTTAATGTTTATCCATCAGGAATAGTCGTGATCCAAAAACCTACCAAGAGAGCCACGATAGGATGCTTTTCCTGTCAGTCATTTCCTGATTCATTTTCTCTCTTCTGTATTTTATGGACAGATCCCATGTGTATGACGAAGATCGTATGGCTCGGTATGATTCCAATAGTGTTTGTGGTCACTGTTTCCGTTGTTGTCTACAAAATTGTCCAAGAAAATAAACAAAACTGTAAGTAATAAAAAGTTAATCTGTGTAAACTTAGATTTATGTCTATACAACTTATTGTATACAGTACAAAGTAAAATGTATTGCTGTAACAAAGTTGTTTGTTATTAACATGGTTCAGCCAATTGTACAGTTCTAATATAGCAAGAACTTTCATTTAAAGGGTCTGGGATACACAGATTAGTGACGTCTGAAGTGCCAATGCAAAAGCAGACTTGGTGGTGGTGAATGACAAGTGTTTACAGCTGACAGACCCTTGGCAGCCTGTGATCCTTGGTGGAATGAGCATCTGGTTTCAGACTGGTTCCAGTAGATAAAAAGATTACAGCTAAACACTACTGAAGGTTTCAGCAGAAATGCCAGTGACTAAATAGAAGCAGAGAGTGAAATTGCCTTTCCTCCCTTGATTATGATCCATCCAGATCAGGATCAAGGCAAAATATAGATACAAGGAAATACAGACTCTGCTGTCTGGCCTAAAAAGTGCTCACCTAAAGTCAGTGACGTTGCAGTGCCACGGAGGCAAACGAAGCTCTGCCCTCCTAACTTGAGAGCTGAAGCCAGCCCAGGTATAATTCCTTCTCTTTTCTGTGATTTCAGCAAAGAAAATGATACTGTGATTTCTGAGGTCAGCTCTCATGTCTTTTCCAAGTGATTTAAAAGGTCATTTTATTAGGACAGATCTTGTTCTTAGTTTCTTATTCAGAGACTGGAACAATTATTTCTACATAAAGACTTCACCAGCTGAGGCAGGCTCCTCTCCTGTGATCCACTTCAGGCTGAGGCTGGATAGGGATTTGCAGTGTTACTTCTGGCACTGTACCTTGAAGGAAGTGAGAATAAAATTGTAGCTTTCTCCCAGGAGTGAAACCTTTGAGCAACGAATGTACTGTCTCCTGTGCAAAAAACAACCTGGAAACCTGACTTCTTGTCAGCTGCTGGGTTTTACTTTTCATCAGAAGTCGGCTGCAGCTGGCAAAGAGGGCTGCCTGTTTTATCAGTGTGACAAGAGCGTCACTTAACCTATTATTTGAGGTAAGAGCACTTAGCTGCTGTCCACAGCAGTTTCCTGGGAGTTCCTGCCCGTGTGAGCCCCGGATGTGTCCAGAGGACCAGGGTTCAGCTGCTTTCACCAGATACCCCTCCGCTCCGCTGGCAGTCCCGAGCTGCAGGGCGCAGAGCTTGGCCACGGGGGCAAGGAAGCACAACAAGCTACATCCACGCTCTTCATCATCCTTGCTCTATCCACAGGCCCTTTGGTAGCAAAAGGGCAGTAGGAATCGGGCTTTAGTCCTAGCTGAACAGGAAGAAAAAGAGTGCCTCCACACAAGAGGTTTCTGTGAAAAGAATTTGCATAAAGTAAACATTTTATGTGTATATTTTTAATGAATAAACTGAATAGTTGCTTAAAATGGCACATCTGTAACAAGTGCCTCCTCCCCAGCCAAAATAAAACAAAATAAACTTTTTTTTCTCATTATGTTGGTTGAAATATATGATCTTTTACTTACTGCCAGAGCCAGAGTCCTGTTTTATGCATATAAAAATCCCCTAAAATATAAATTAGGTCTTTACAAGTTGAGTTTAAATGCTCTATTTTGAAGGATTTTTATCTGCAATTTGAAAGCTACCTATAAATTTCATGAGTATGATTCGTAACACCCTGTTTTTCATGCAGAACTCCTATTAGTGGTTATGATTAACAATGTACTGTCTTTAATCTTTTAGACATCAGTTCTTGGATACAGGTTTCTCATGCTGTGGTGGAATGTCTTCCACACGAATGGGAAAGACACCCGACCATTACTATTACTAGCAATTACTAATTGTCTTCTAGAAACCCTTTCCTGTTAACACAGGAATAATAATTTCATTCATTATGCTCACTATAGATAGTACTATGAACAACATCAGAGTTTTACCAATGAAAAGATAAGCATTATAGAAATATGCCTATGAGTCCTCTTCCTGATATGTATGTATTATATTATGAGCTGTAATTACAAATCTACACACTATTTTTTTTCTGTTCTTTCTGTTCTGTTTCTGCCTGAAGAATCAGGCATTTCCATGAGTCTAAAACAGGTTTTTTTTTTGTGTGTGTGTCTAATAAGAATTTTTACAGTCACAATTCACTTGGTAGTTTTTTTCTTAGTTTATGAGCACTACTGCTCATACTGCTTGCAAGAAACAGGAAATAATTCATTTCCTCTTAAGATCTTCCAAGAAATTGTGCAAGGCAGACTCTGAGACCCTCTGAAACATTAATGGAGTAATTTCCATGAGTACATAAAACAAAATACCCAGATAGACTTAGTGGAAGTTATAACTGATCTTCATTTAACAAAGGAGTTAAATTAGACATTAGTCCTTATGCCTTTACCCTTCTCCTCTTGTCTTTCAGCTTCATCCAGAGGTTCCTTTGACATTAACTGTTATGATGTCTGCTTAGGCTGCAGCATATTAAATCTCAGCTGGGTATTGGAAAAAAGTCATGACCTAAATAATGCTAATTTAATGAATTTTTTTAGCATTAAATTTTCCAGGATTCTCTGAAGAAAAATATGAAAATCAATTCTATTATGTAGAATTGGGGCAAGCGTGTCCTCAGAAGCTGAGTCCTGAACTGCTGGTAGGACAGTGTTAAGTGCAAGAGCTGCACCATCAACCACAGTAGCTCTACCAAGCCGAGGCTGTTAAAAGGCAGCAAAATGATGCAAAGAGCTCATAAACTGGCTGCTAAGGCCAGTCAGAGGTGTCCAGTCCAGCTATGTCTTTCTCTCTCTGGCACAGAGAGCTTTTTCTCTTGCTCTGCCCCCAAAATGAAATCCCCCCACTTGCAAGGAAGCTGGACACTCGGTTCTTTCTCTTCCACTGTCAGCCGTGAGCATCTGCACCTAGGCAGAAACAGGCATGACCCTTTTTTTCATAGCCTTCCAAAAATTATTCAAGGCACATAGTAGTGGGAAGAATAATTTGAAAAAGGTAAACCTGACTGGAATTTAGGAAAAAAAAAAACATAGGTAAATGAAAAAACTCTGTCCCTAGACCTTCCTGGAAAGTTTCAAAACTTTCCTATAAACCTGATTTTTCAGGTGTCCAGGATTTTTTAGGATAAGTCAGTTCAATTATAAAAGCCTTTTTTTTTTTTTTTTTTTTTTTTGGAGAGGGCTGATGAACAACTTAAATATCAGGGGTTTTGCCAGCTTTCCTTCTAATGAGTGCTGTATGTAATTCTATAGCTGAAGACAATTCATTCTGTTTAAAACAGACTATAAACAGAGAGCAGCAGCAGTATCAACCACTCTAAGCAGCAGCATTTCGAGACGTGCAGGAAGAACTATATCTGCTACTAAAACTCGCCTTTTTCCTGGTAAGCAATATAAAAGTAAAATATAAGCCTAATGAAGCCTTAGGATTGAGTGGGTTAAGAAAGACCTTTAAGCCTTGGGATGCTTCAGTTTAGTTAGAGGTTAGTTTAGTTATCTTGATTCTACACAAATATAGCATGATCTGGCTTCCTTATTGAAACATATTTATATTTAAAATAAATAACCCTGACTGTGAAACTATAAGAAAGCCTTTGTATACCATGCTTCCTTCAATCTTCTAAATGCCTTGTATTAATGTCTTCATTGTTTTGGGGTGTTTTTACTTCATTTTAATTTTTGGTGATGTTATGTTCCACACTTGGAGTTTGGCATGAGTGGAATGTGTGTGTGAAAAGTATACCCAAGTATACTGACATGTTTGCATGTTCTATGTGACTATGATTCTTGACAAAAATCTTCTATCAAGGGCTGGAATGAAGGAAGTAGGACCCACAGAATTGGTTTTGCTGGCATGCTGTTGCCTATTTGTGGGCAAAATTTCCACAAAATGTAGCTTCATAATTTCAGATAGCTACTAAAAATTGGTCTTCTAAGAATATACTATGTCTAGCACAAATAAGTGCTAAGTGGCATGGCTAAACTCAAAGTATGGTTCCTGAAATTTTAGTTTGGCAAAAAAAAAACCCCAAAACATTCTCTATGTAAACAGAAATTAGGTCTAAGTTAGATAATGCTAGAAGAGTTATATTCTTTAATAAACCCATGAATTCTTGTTTCATGGAAGGGACCCTGTCTTTTCAAATATTACCATGAACATATACAACAATAGTTTTGAATAGCAGAACAACTTCCCTCCAAAACAAAAACACATATGAAGACAGCAAATAAGAGGAGAGGAGAGGAGAGGAGAGGAGAGGAGAGGAGAGGAGAAGAGAAGAGAAGAGAAGAGAAGAGAAGAGAAGAGACGAGACGAGACGAGACGAGACGAGACGAGACGAGACGAGACGAGAAGAGACGAGAAGAGAAGAGAAGAGAAGAGGAGTTTTAAAATTAGGCTTGAGTACCTGGCCATTTGTATTGGAAATTCTTCCGGAGTTAGAGAAGACTCAGTAATTTCTCTCTGCAGTGCAGTAACTTGAAGCATTTCAATTTCACCTAGAAAAGAGTGAAATGCTGCCTGTCTGTCTGAGCTCTGCTGGGATTACAATTTATGTTCCCCAGTTTTAGATGCTGGCTACCTCTCAGATGTATTTATGAGCTCATTATTTTCATCTCCTGAGAAAGGAATCTGTCTCTGCCACCTTCCGCCTTGAGTTGCTTCGCTAGTACCAGCCCTGTTTTATCATCATGTTCACAATGACAGCTTTAGTGTTGTATATCCAAAGGCATTTTTGATGATGGACTTTTATAGAAATTCAAATCTAGTTTTACTATATTGAAGGAGATGGGAATCCAGTATTGGCTGCTCTTCTTGCTTCTGTATTCCTGTCACTTCAGTCTATCCATTAAATCAAGAAAGATGCTTAGCTATATGAAACACCATAATGGGTTTTATTCTAATCTGAATTTCATTGATTTCACACACTATAATTCTAGGCAATTCAGTAACCTTTTTTTTTTTTTCTCTGATTTACACCATTATGGTTTAAAGTACAATAAAGGCTATCCGAAATGTATTTTTTTTTCTACTGACTTCAAGATTTTCTCCTGGATTATAAATAGCTATGGGTTACTTCTTCAACAGTCCTTAATAATATCTTTGATATAATTTTCATTATCATTAGTGCACAGTTTGGAACCTAGAAACAGAAAGTTGTGATCCCTAGAAGAAGACAAAACAACCATCCTGGAAACACTGGAATGAGGATAAGTGACAGTAGCTCTGAGATGATGTGACAATATTTCATGTAGATATAGTTACTACTAAAAGGTTATTCAAAATTCATAAATGATAAGAGTGGAAAAGAATAAATCTTATGCTTTGTGAATGAGAATGATTTCCTAGGTGAGCTCAGGAAATAGTGACTTAATATCACTTTTGGTCCTACAAACTTTTGAGCTTGTGCTTCCCCATAAATAGGTAATTTACACCATGTATGGTGTAAACTGTCTGGTGAAGCTGTTAGTGCTTCTGTGTCCATATATCATATAACTAAGTTTGGTGGCCACAGGAAAGGAGGAAATGGCATATAGTAAGTACTACTAGGGATTAAACACAGAGAGAAAAGAGGAGAGTTTTAAAGAATTCTGGTTGTAGATGTTGACAGAATATATTTTCTAGAGCTTGTGTTCGTTCATGTCATTATATTTACACAAAACAGTTCTGTGAATGCCTTGAATCGATAAAATACAGTTGCCCTTAAATGCAACCATGAGACTGCAAAGAGGAGAGCACAGGATGCTTTTTCTCCAGGGCAAGAAGTAAATGTTCTTCAAGTGACAGAGCTGTATTTCCATGCATAAGGCACTTTCATATTAGGTAGGAGATGATAGTAGTAGCACACAGGAAATCAACCATAGAAGAAAAGTTCTTGCTTGTATGAAGAATGAGGATGTAGGCCTAGCTTCCAAAATACTGGGGTTTAGCTGATGAATTATGCCAGGTAAGTAGCACAGATATGATAGGTCAAAGGCTGCAAGAATTTGTCTTGGAATTCACAGGCTGTTGAATACAATATACCTTGCTCCATACCTTTTTCTTAATCAACCTTCGTTAAATTGTTAAGAACTTTTTCCACTACTGGCACCTAAGTAAGTATGACTGTTCTCATATGGGGGTATCCCAAAACATGTAAGCCTGGATTTACTGTTGGGAGCAGGCCACTGTGTATGAACTGTACTTAAAAAAGGAAAGTTGCACAAGAAACAGACTTTAGAAATCTGGATTTTTAATAGCTGGAGTGAATCTTCCCAGTAGGGGTTTCTAATTTTGGAAGTTGTAATAATATAAATATATGGGTTATAAACCAGAGGGTGAATTTTTATCTTTGGAAGTTTACCACTGTAATTTCTCATTCAGACCTTATTTTTCTTACTTAAGAATGGTATTTCTTACCTATTCCTACCCTAGTCTGAAAGCAGCATAGGGTTTATTGGAAAAAAAATGCTGCTATTCCTGTTTCAGAAGGGGGGTCCCCAGAGAGGAATCAAAACATTCATATCAGTATATTACTACTCTACAGTCTGTGAGAACAACCAAACATATCTGTGGATAGTTCAGACGTAATGCTGTCTGCCACACGGCTCAAGGAGTGTGTTCACTCCTTCCCATTTTCAGTGATACTCCATTGACAAAGTCACAATTGGGTTCATTACATTTTAGGATATGGATATAGGATTCCTTGATTCAGTTGTGTGGCTCATAGTAGTGCAAAGTTAATTCTAATGTATTAATGTATTTCAGTATGTTTTCTTTTTATTATATCATGATGCTCTCGACTTTCAGCATTATCAAATGAATATTCACATTATATCTGCTGGAAGAGATTTGGAGCATGGCCCAGCCGTGGCACAGAGCATTGCAGGGACTGTGTTTGTAGAAGCACTAACATACTGAGAATTCAACAGCCTGTGAATTCCTAGATGGATTCTTGCAATCTTCGTACATATCTGTGCTCCTGACCTGGCATTTTAGAATTAATTGTTTCTCTTGTGAAAACGAGTGCAGCCCTGAGTCAGCACATGTGCACAGGACCTGGCTGAGCTGTGATCAGCTGCTTTCGGTATCAAACGTCAAATCAAAACCAGGTGCCCGTGCCGAGGCTTTGGCCTCAGGCCCGGCGGCAGCTCCGGCCTCCTGGCTTATCCAGAGACATCAAACTTCCTTTTTCTCTTTTCAAGTTTGATGTCAATAACAAGAAAACACAAGGCATTATCTTAGGGAATGTGTGGTTTAACTTCCCTTGGTTTGGGCTACAAGAAATGCAGAAACCAATGTGTAGCATAGAGGTTGGCGGGAAAGGGAAGTGTTTGCCATTCTCAAGTATAGCAATTTTATACTCTGTAGTGACAGGGGAAATGGTGGCTTGTTTAAAGTACATGTTTTAATGTGTTAAAGACTCTCTAGCACCAAGCAGTTGGATGGTAATCTAATAACCTTTCGTGAAAGAGGGACATTGCAAGATCAGGCTGGCAACCAGGCCTCAAATAATAAAACTCCAGGGTTTTTGGCCTGCAGTTGTTTTCTGGCCTGTATAGACTTTGTATCATGCACAACATTTGAAATAAGTGGGCTTAATAACTGTAATATGCCTGTAAAGAATTCCTATATCATTCTATCCTATGAAAACATTAGTTCCTTACTAATGAGATTAGAGAACTCAGGCCAAGTCCTGCCCTCTCAGGTGCATTGCTATTGTTGCTTCAGTTTCCTTTACGGGTTATAAATGAAAGCAAACTCTGTCCCTGTAGTGTCAGGGCCGGTATCCCACTGAGTTCAAGCCCATTGAGCAAGGAGAACAGGCAGTATCTACATCTATTGTAGTATCAAGATACTACATCTATTGTAGTATCAAGAAAATGGAAGCGAAGAAAGAAGAAATTTGTTTCATCTTGGCCAAGTGGAGCATTACATCTTTGCTTCTGGTACTTCTCAGTTAATTCCTGAGCAGCTGAACACTTGTCTTTTCCTCTGCAGCTTAGGGGAATCACGCAGGGCAGGGAAAGCTCATCCCAGTGTTCGGCACTTATCTCAGGCTCACATGTCCCTGCAGCCTGATGCTTCCAGAATAAAACATGAAGCCTAATTACCACTTTGGGTCTTTTGCTACTTTTCTGAAAAGAGGATAAAATCTATAGGGCATGAGTAATTTTCAGGAGCTTTTTATAGCCCCTGCATAATCCCAGCGGGATGCTGGTGCTCTGTGTGTGTGTGTGCAGAGCAGGGCTGCACGCGGGCTCCGAAGGGAGTAAGTGCCAGCCTATAGCCCTGTTCCATGCAGGTTTGTCCCAAGGCTGGAATACGATCCACTGCTATTTCCATTACTTCCTCAGTTTTATTTTGCTTTTCATATGCAGTTGCTTAATTACCAAGAGCTGAAATGTGCTTTTTAATTGTATTTGTAAAGGAGAAAATCTCCAATGAGATAGAAGCTGGAGAAGGGATGAAGCTAAATATGTCTCATAGCCCATCATCCTTTCACTGTGAACTTAGGAAAAACTCAGAAGCTCCAAAGGGGGTTACAGAAGTTATAGATGGTCTGAGACAGGATGGACCTGCGGTTAATCTCTTGTGTGCTCTTCTGCAGTTCTTTGAAAAAACAGAAGATATCCATAACTCTGGCCCCATTAGCCTGTACTAGCTCTGAGCTTCTCTCTTGTATTTATAATAGGTTTCAATATTTTAAATCTGCAAAGTTTAACACTCTGCAGGTGTTCTTAATATGGATAATAATTATTCTAACCTTTAGTAGCAGAGAACAACAAGCAAAGGACTCGACTTACAGCAGAGACTGTGGAGATACTGTCTGTAATTCCTGAGCACGAGCATTGCCATGTGGGGGCATCATGTGCAGAAGGTAAGCAAATATCTTACAGCTCCTGGATTACTCTGTTTTGCCTCGTATTTTTAAAATAAATAGTAAGAAATATCTACTAGTAATGGCAATAGAGATGACTATCTTTTAAAGGTTTGTAAAAGGTAGGTGGCAAGAAAACAAATTCACTTTTCCTTCTGGTAGGAAGAATGATCAATAAGCTAATCTGTTAGTTTGTTATTCTGTACATGTCCCTGAAGCCAGTGCAAATTCTGCCCCTTTTTCTGGTGTAGGAGACTGTGTCCTGGACTGCAGTATGGCACTGACACTTGTTTCTGACAAGGACAGAGGAAAAGAAACCCGCAGTAATATGTAATAGATACCTCTCCTAGGCAGTACCTTTAATGCCTAAAAATGGAATGGATGCTACTTGAATAGATAATACAAGCACACTAATGTATCAACTGCATAAACAAAGTTGTGGCTATATGCACAGGTTTATATTACTGCACATGGCACATACTTTAGGTTAAAAGCGTAAGAAGCTTTTTCCTTTAGAAACATCCTTCTTTATTTACATATATTTAAACTGGATAGAGTTCTAGTGAAAACTCAGCATGATGACATGCTATCTTTTTGATGCCCTGGAAAAAAACCGGTGTGCTAAAGTGCTGTTTGATTTCTGTACTTCATGTGTGACTATAAAAATTGAAGTTTTATGTTGAGAGCACAGCTGAAGAATTATTGTGTGGAAAAGGCAAACTACTTCTATAATAAATTAATAATACAGCCAAATTACAATTTTGCTTCTGAGAGAGACTTGCTGGGTTACAGGGTGGTATATTATAATAACTAAAAATAATGACCACTGGATAAATGGTTCCCATCCAGAAATCTTACGAGCACTTGTAAAGATGAAAAGGTGTCATTATTAGCATTTTAAAACGGTAATAGGGATAGATAACATGACTTGGGAAGTCGCTGATATAGTTGAGAGCCGTATCTGATGATTGGAGTTCATGTCCTTGCCTCCTGGATCCCAGGAGCTTGTGCTGGTGAGACCCTTGTGCCGACCTCCTGTGGCCTCTCCTTGGGGTGGCCTCTTCCTTGCCTGGGGCTGCCTCCCAGCTCCTGCAGCATTTGGGTACTTCAGACCTCTTCTTTCTGACACGTCAACCATCTCTTCAGGAAAACCTTTACCTTCCCATAGCTCCACTTCCCACAGAATCACCCATCTTAATTGTTTCCCATAGGAAGAGCCAGCACTTAGCCTGAGCCTAGGAACAGGAACTTCTGAGGTTGTGCTGGCATGTGTCCCTGAGCAGGGGCTACCAATCAGCACCTTCACCCTACAGCAGCTGAGCAGCAGCAGCTTCCCGTTTCCTTCCAGGATACCGGCTTCACCAAGGACGGTTTTTAGATGCTGGACACAAAGTGTCCTGGTCCATTCCCACTTCAACTTAACTTTGGTCATTATGGAGTAACCACTGGGATGGACCTGCCAGCACTGCCATTGTTATGATTAAATTAACTATTATGTCTCCTCTTTCTGCGAGGAGAAGAACCAGCTTGGCAGACCTTTGATTGGGAACAAATTCAGCTAATTAAAAATGTATCAACTTCTGTACCCCCACCTATGCAAAAGGAGAACGTTTTCAACACGGGTCACTTAATCTCTCCGTATATTTTCAGGATACCTATTACCACAGCATTTGAGGGCTGAAATTAAGGATCCTCCTGTATTTCTGCCATCTTTCATTAAATGACCCCAATATCAACTGTCCTGGAAAAATGCATGAGTCAAGTCTCCCGGGTGATTTAAGAGAGTTCTCTGTTTATGTGTGACAGCTGTGGAGATATTTCCTTAGCACTGTCAAAAGGTGACATAAGAATTACTGCAAGTTATGAGGTCCTGTTTATTTGGTTGGAAAGCATAAACATTGCATTCAAGAAAGCAAATATTTGCTTTAGGACCACAGAGAAAGAGGCTCTGGAAAACCAGCTTCTTTTTTTCTACCAGTGGTCCTCAGTCAGATTTATCCCCAGCTAAAACAGAGGTTGTGTAGTACTTTTAACTTCTAAAGCATTACTTTCATCAACTATTATTTTAGCAGTTCTAAAATGCCTCTTCTGTGATAAATGAAAAGAGAAATAGCAACCTGGACTGATAGCAAGAAATCCAGGAGAACATCAGGTCTTTCAGCAGATCACAAGGATAAATACTGGATTTATATATCAAAGTTAGGCTCTTGGCTTCCTTTACTTCAAAAGGGCAGCATGTGAAACCGTGAGACAACTAACATTTCTGAATGCACTTGATTTGATAACAATTCCTGAGAACAGTGGAAGACCTCTTCTACTGCTATTGGACCAAGGGAGCAATTAAGATCCCCATGCTCATTAAAAGCTCCCTACATATAGGGAACTGTCTATAGGAAAGCACTAAAGCATCTGGTAAGACATTTTTGCTGATAGCCAGCCCTTATAACTTTCTTCCATAGAGAAGATTTCAGCTAAACTTGTCCTTTGAGGCTTAAGAAAACGTGTCCCAAGGAAGGGCTGTTCTCCAGGTCGGTCTCTGTCCTGCCCTTTCCCCAGCAGCCTGAGCTGTGTGAAACCCAGGCAGATTCTGGCTAAGCAGGTGATCTCTTCCAGGCTAAAAACACACTCTAAACATGCAGCCGTCAGAGCAGAACAATCACGTGTGTACAGCATGAAGAGCAACTGGGAGCCTCTTTTACAGGATTTCTGCCCTCTGCCCATTTAAGAGAAAGCAGCATTAAATTCTCCCTAAGGAGCACTAAGCAATTTCAAAACTTCACAGATGACTAAGGACATAACAACATTTTATCTTATTTGGGGGAATTAATGACAGATACAGAACTGATAGTTTCAGGAATAAAGAAGACTCAGTGTCTAATGGCCAATGATTGTAGAAATTCTTTTCCTTTTTTCTGTTTTTTTATTTATAGCGGTACTTTATTTACTACAACATTCTCTTTGTTAATGTCCCAAGGTCAAGATAAACAATATTAGTGTCCTGTCTCCCATTAATTCTGTTAATAAAACAGGTTGAAGTAGTAAAAGCTGCATAAAAGCTAATGGAAGTTCCACCTTGGCAGTTGCCAATAATTTTTAGTACACTTCCCTTTCCATCAGCACTTCATCTCTCTTTGTAAAAAGCCTGGAGATCCTTGAAGGTGCTTCGTGTCTTTGTGTTTCCTAAGTGACCTTGTAGCTTTACAGTTAAATAAGACAAGTCATTCTCCCAGTGAATACCCAATTTAAGAATTAATCTTGCCTTGCAGTGTAATGGATCGTAAGACTAAAGCATGAGACAGATAAAGAGCTAAGAGAGAGGATACATGGGAAGAAGAATGTGTATGGTCAAAAAACTGAAAACTTTTTTCACTGAAACTGTAAAATGAAAGAAATTTAGGAGCTGAACTGTACAGAACATGAGCTAAGACCCGGAAAATTCAATGCTAGCCCATCCGGGCTATCACACAGGTTTGGCCCAGGCCCCTCCTTCCTTTCAAAAGAGTCTTTCAACACGAGGATTACAGGCCTTATTAGCACAAGTAGAAAAATAGACTAAAAATATAATTTTTGCTTGCTTTTCCCTTTGTGATTGCAGCTTTACAAAAATATTTTCACATTTCAAAGAGTGCCTCTCTCCTGTGCCTCTCTGAGCAAGACACCCACACAAACAACCTAAGCACAAAGAACTCAAGGGAAAACAGTGAAACTCCCCGTTCAAAGCATTCTGGCAAAGGCACTTAGCAAGTGCACACAGGAGAAGAGGAAGATTACAGATAAGCTCTGTTTTTCGAAATCGTACATATATTTGTAAAGAACAGACGGTGAATTTTCAATTGACAAGATACTTTCGCTTATCCTTTTGTCGCCGTCTCTGAAGAGCTCAGGGGCGATAGCTGTGCTGTGGTTAGTGCCCTGGTTAAGCTGAGTGCCACGTGGCTCAGGGCAGCACTTTGCACAAGTGCTGACACGCTGTGTGTACCAGGTAGACGTTTCTGCAAGATGCCATCTGTCCTGTTTCCGTGAATCCCTGTAGATAAGTCCACAAACAAATATTAAGTTCCTCATGCAGCTTCAGACGCTGTAAGAAGCGCATGCAACACAGAGTTATCTGTTTATTTTTAAAACATCATGCAAGATAATATCTCCACTCTTTCTGCTCCCGGAACAGATTCAAGTCTGATTCACACATTAAAAATAAAACTCCTTTTAGCCTCAACTCTCAGAATCTGATTGTTGGTGCATTCACCAGTACTCGGCACAATATTGGGCTGCTTAAAATGCCCACCAAGGTGTGTTTCTCTCCAAAGGAGATACAGAGGGGTTTTAGAAGGGAAGCACTCATGTTTGCTTGCAAAACAGGGCTGTTATGGGCACTGTAGAAACGTGCCCATTAAACGTGCCCGTGTTAAACGTTTTGTTCCATTGTTAAAAGTTTTGTTCCATTGGCTCTCATCAGCTGTCATTGCATTTTGTCCTGCCCACATTTGCTGTTTTCCAGCTAACTCCAGCAGCTGCAACCTCCAGTGTGAGTTCATGGCCAAAGAAGCACTTCTCTTCCACACTTTTAAGATGTGAAGGGAGGCAGATGTAGCTATTGGGCCCTCAGATACATGAACTACCAGAATAAGTAGCAGCTGTAGTTGTTTTGTAGCTCAATGTGAGAAGAGAAAGGGCAGGAATCTTGTACTTCTCGCCCCTACATTGTATAGTTCCCTAAAAGCTAAAGATGAGCCCAATTTGGAGCTGGGAGTTTTCATATTTCGAGGTTGCTCATCACATGCGACTTCAGCAGCTGCTGTCCAATTTCCCAAAGCTTCCTTCGTGTCATTTTAGAAAATGAAAAATGCTTATTTCATTATTGCCCAATTTATTCCACCAAATACCAGTATAATGGAGGTGAGGAGGTGAGGGGGGGCACATGGTTGGACTTGCTGGTCTTGAAGGTCTTTTCCAACCATGATTCTGTGATTGCAAATTCTTCCATCTGGCTGGTGTTTCAGATTCTTCTAAAGCAGTTTTATTTTCATTAGGGTATTTTAGCATATTTTGGTCAGGATTCTCCTAATACTCCAAGTTCCCTTGTGAACCCTGTGCTGCAGAGTGAGGAGCTCATAAAGACACAACCCAGGAGGGAGAGCTGGTGGAAAGGGGACCTCCTCTTTGAGGGACCATCGAGATGCCTTTTCCAGGCTGCCTCAGGCATGGGCACCTCTAGGATTGCCCTCTAGGGCAGCTTCTGCCTCTGCCTCGCTGGCTGTTTAGGTGACCTCAGATCACTGAGCTTCTCTCAGCAGTGAATAAGTACGAGTGCTTCCCGCTCAGGTTTTTGTGTCATACTCTTGTGGAGCAGGTACTTGAAACGTGATCCGATAGGCAGGTATCACACCTGGGTGTTTTGCTCCATTCTAATGTCTGTCCCCTGTTTGGCTGGTCTCTTGGTTATAATCTTGTTTGCATTTGTAATAAAGAGGAATATTCACTACTGTGAAAGTTGAAAGAAATCTGAAGTTGTTGAGTACCATCACAATGACATTAAATCTAAAGCAAATTAGAAAAGACTGCTTTTCTAACCTCAACTTTTTGAGCATTAATACTATTTTCTTTAGTTTCAGATGTTGCTGTATGAAATATGATCAATATTGCATGAAAGAAGAAACTAATACATGGCAGAAGAAGGCAACTTCATTTCCAGTACAGCCAGGGAGCCATGTCTCATCTTTTATGAGAACACCAACTCTATTTTACAGGCTATATTTTAGTAGCTATTTTATTCATCTCAACTACTTGGTATTAGGCAAATATGAACCATGGACAAAGAGATATTTTGCTGTACAATCTATTTCAGCAAGAGATTATAGGTTTCACATCCATTTTCAATTAATTCTGGATTTATACCTAATCATAAGGTTGCAAGATAATCCCTCCAATAATTTATTTTTCTAGCTGAGAATAAATTTTGTATTCTCCATAGGGTGAAAAGACTGTATAAAGATAAAAACAAACCTATATTTTCATGGAATGAGCACAGCCTTCAGCTTATTTATTACTCTAAGTGACTAGGATGCTTAAAGGATATAATTTCTGGCTATTGAGCTGAAGGCAGATAGAAGCAGTGAATTCTGCAGTAAATTTTAATTCTGCAGTGAGCAAAGAAGACATTCACAAATTCTGCAGCAAGAAAAACGTGTGGAAAAATAGGACATTTGGCTTCAAACCAGAAAAACCATCATTATTGTATTTTTATAACTCGCTAAGGCACAAAATGGACTTTGTACTGTTCGATAAATTGCATTTCTATCTTTTGTATTAGTTTAGCTCTTTAGTATTCAGACTCATTATATCCTGAAACTTTTCCTTGCTTTCCATTTATTACTGTTCTGCTGAGTGTAATGGAGCTGTTTGGGCTGAGCAGGGCCTCAAACTCATTCTGGGCTAACATATTATTTGTGGGTACTATTTAATCATAAATTACCACCAAGAAGCACAAATTGCAGAGCCAGTACTTCAAACTCCCTTGTGCTAAATCCATCAGGATGAACAGATTGTAAACTGCCCATTGCAAATATGATATGCAGTAATTTAGCATCATGTTAATACTTCATAACTTCCATCCCTTACATTTATATAGCTTTTCCCTCCTGAAGCTTTCTGAAATTACTTCTCTGGTCATTACACTGCACAAAGCAGTTCAGATTTAATAGGAATAGTTGTGAAAATTAGATTCTGAATGATGTGAACCCATACGGAGGGTTTTTTTTATATATATATATTTAGCTGGGTAAGTCTGAGTCATTTGTTTTTATTGTTTGTTACCATCTTATAAAAAAAATACTGGCTTCCTTGGTTTGGAGGCTTTTGAGGCTTTATTGCTCATCTGTGGTAATAACTTAAAGCTTTTTGGAAATGTATTTTCTAATACAGTATGGAATATAAATGTCTCACATTTTGTTTTTCCCTTACTGTAAGACAGCAGAATTTACAGATGGAAAAATAGACATAACTATTTCAAAACATTGCAGAACTGCCAAGGCCACTTTAGTCAGTGTTTAAGCAGTTCAAATGATGGCACTGTCTAACACTGTTCCCTTTCAGGAACCCAGAGATACTGTTGATAGAGACAGTCCTGCTCCTTGTGACGGTGATTTAATTTAATTCCCTTGATATTTAATTTTATTATTCTTGCTGCCTATAGCCTCCCTCCTTCATTTCCTTGCATGACCAAACTGTAAGTTATTATTATAGTGCTTACCCTACCCATCATATTTGTTGTTCTCACCCAACATTTCTCCTCTCTTGTTCCATCCTATGCCTGTTGTTTCCTATCTTGCCATCACGTAGCACCATGAGGGGCCTGGTCCCACCAGCTTGGTCATCTCTGCCATGGGTACTAGGAGCTGCTCCTAGGGCCCTCAAGCTGTGTCTTCCCAGGCTGAACAAGACCGGCTCCCTCAGCCTTTCCTCACAGAATCAGAATCCCAGGAGGTTTGACATTGGTAGGGACCTCTGCAGATCATTTAGTGCAACCTCGTGCTCAAGCAGGGTCACCTAGAGCACGTTTTCGAGGGTTGTGTCTGGATGGCTTCTGAGTCTCCAAGGCAAGAGCTCCTCAGCGCTTTTGGATAACCTGTTCCAGTGCTCTGTTACCCTCACAGTAAAGATTTTTTCTCATGTTCACAGGGAATTTCTGGTGAGCCAGTTTGTGCCTGTTACCTCTGTTCTTGGACACCACTGAAAACACTCAGGCCCATCCTCTTCACATTGTTCCTTCAGACGCTTATAGATATTGATAAGATCCCCCCATAGCCTTCTCTTTTAGGCTGAACAGGCCCAGCTCCTGCAGCCTTTCCTCATATTCCGCCCCTTCAGTTCTATCAGCCCCAGCTCCGACTAATTTGGGGGTCCTCCACTGAAGTCACTCCAGGTTATCAATGATCCTCCTGGCTGGGGGACACCAGACTGCAAACTGTGCAGTCAACGTGTCCTCGTGAGCACCAGCCTAGTAGTCACCGCCGTTGACCTGGCCATGCTCCTGTGAGGCTGTGTTTGGCCTCAATGCCAGCTCACATCCACCAGCACCCCGGGCCTCCTCAGCACAGCCCCTCCAGCCAGGCTGTCTCTCTGTCCCAACGGCGAGACGGGTCCTACAGCTCACTCAGGAAGAAGCACAAACCAAGGAGGTGTGCGAGCAACTTCCTTCGCTGCTGAGCTCCTGCTGCTAACTCCCTTTCACGAGGGTCTCTACTCTTATTACTCTTGTATTTCACGTTTGGGATAGGGAAGGCTTTCAGGACCAGTGTTTTTGCCACGGAGGTGCCTCTCCTCTCTGTAAGGCTCAGAAATAGCTGGAACTAGCTGTGAGCATCACTAACCCAGTGTGGGGCCCTGAGGGAGGTTGTGCCTGTTCCAGACCACCGCTGGCGATGGAGCCATACAGCCTGGGTTCCCTGGTTCCCTGCTGCATGGGGGCAGGAGTGGAGATGCTCTGCTGAAGGAAACTCTCCTTTGGTTGACTGCTCGCTTGCGCTGATAAAGAAATGAGGATGATAAAAAGCACTGAGCCTCTTGGTTTAGTTTCTTCCCACTCTTTCCTGAGATCCTCTTGGTTGCTTTCTCTCCTCACATGTGCCCTTGTCTTCATCTCCAGGTTTTCAAAACTGTGTGAGCAGGGAAAGTGTGTCCTGGTGCAGCCTGTCAAGCACAAGAGGTCAGACAGGAGAGAGCCCCACAGATACTGGAGAGGAAGTAGAGACTAAGCTGCAGTGCCATGGGTTGAACAAAACCGATGGGGAAGGAAGATCTGATGCACGACAAGGATGTACAAAATGGGCACAGGGACAGAACTACTGAGGCACTGTAGGAAAGACACAGACCTCTTTAAACATCAGCATCTTAAAAGCTACCGAGATAGTTCAAGATGAGCAAGAGCAGGAAGAGGACTGCTTATTTATAAGACCAGAGAAGCTTCCACAGATGTTAAGAAATTGTTTGAAAGACAAAGTGTTCCAGCTTTCATTTAGGTGACATTACCTGACCCAGAACCAGCATCTTTTCTTGAATGCCCTTTAGCTAAATGTTTCTTGGCCCTAGACTGCAAAAGACACATGGCTCCCACTTGTTTGACTAATGTCTTCATGCCTTCCTCTTTACAGTAGCTGCAAATTTATTTCGCTGAGAATTACTATTAGCCCTTGCTGTGTTGCATATTTTTTCAGCTTTGTAGGTAAAATATTTGAAAGGCAGAACAAATAGCTAGTGCTCTGCTTAGAGACCATTAGGGCATCTATTCAAAAGATTGTAAGGAGAAGCTGTCAAAAGGAGACCAAAGTGGAGAGACTAATAAGTTCTGAGCAGGTCTGAACTCAGGGACTTTTGGTGTGCATGCAATGAGAGGTAAGACTGCAAATCCAGAGTGATCAAATTGGCTGTCTTCTTTCCTTTGAGCTTTACTTCTTTCTGTGTTCTCACCTTCGCTTTCCTTCAAGCTCCTGCCTGATTTTTATTCCAGAAATGCTGTTACTCCTATTCTGACAGAACTAATCAAATGTCATCTTGTTTACTTTGAACAATGTTGAAAAATTCATTTTAAAACTTCTCTTAATCCAGCTCTTGAAAACTGTTCCTCCTTCCACAAAGCATATATTTTTTTTCTTTGATATTTTTTCCTCTGCCATCTTTTTAATACAGCTCAAATGTTGACATTTTATTTTCAATTTGTTGAAACCGGAACCTGGAAAATGTACAGGTCACACAATGAAAGCCACTGTTTATATCTTTGTATTCTCAGTGACAAAAGGCTGGCTCGAGGTAAGAAAAAACTTGTTTAGAGTCCAGAGGGTTTTCCAGGCAGACTATTAGAATTTCAAAGTAGGTCAGATTAGCTGATGGTGTCACTTTAAGCCTGGCTCTGAGATGGTTTTAAAAAGAACTAAGGAAAGTCCTTTTCCACTCTTCACATTCTTTTGAAACTAAGAGAAGAGACAGGGCTGTCATGTGAAATGAAAGTGTAATGTCTCAAAGATAATCCTGTGAGTAGGGTGACTGTACAATAAAAATCACTTCAGTGAATCAGAAAAAAAAGGTAAAAATCTCTATTGTGTCATTCAAAATACTGCGGCATTTCAGACTCATTACAGCTATTATGAAGCCTGACCTGTGGGTGACACCAGCAAGAAACATAATTAAAAATCATCTCAATTAGATTGCAATTGAGTATCAAAAGATAAAGGCACATTTTTAAAAAAGGTATTAATGGCTCCTTTGGATGATCTAAGCAGCATGAAAAAAGTGAAAGAGACAGTTCTTTTGTTTAGCTGTCTCAAGCAATGGATGCAGCAGTGTAGGTGCAAACCATGGAAAAGAGATGTTTACACTCGAATAGACTATTCTCTAAAAGCAGAAACAAATTACAGAGTTGAGTTTAGTTTAGGAAAAAAAAAGAAAAAAAAACTTTAATATACAAATACTGTAGACAACCTGTCAAATAGTTTACTTCTACTTCATCCTTGGTTGATGGCATGAAATAGTGGAAAATTTGCAAGGTTAAAGTCTGTAGGTATTCTTTTATGTTTCATCTTGATAATTTTTTTTCAATACAGAATGTTCAAAAGCTGAAGTTTTCTGCTCTGCATAAAAAGATGCACTCACAAATGAACTATGTGTCAAGCTTTACAAAACTAAAAGATATAAATCTGCTCAAGCGAACAGGTAATT